ATAGAATAGAATAGAATAGAATAGAATATGGAATAAATATAGAATAGAATAGAATAGAATAGAATAGAATAGAATAGAATAGAATAGAATAGAATAGAATAATGGAATAAATTAGAATAGAATAGAAGAGATTAGAAGAGAAGAGAAGATATTGGAATAGAATAGATATTAGAATAGAATAACAGAACAGAATAGAATATATGGAATAAATATAGAATAGAGTAGAATATGGAATAAATATAGAATAGAATAGAATAGAATAGAATAGAATAGAGCAAAGCAGAACAGAACAGAGCAGAATAGATATTGAAACAGAATAGAGCAGAATAGAATCGAATGGATATTGAAATAGAATACAATAGAATAGATATTAGAATAGAATAACAGAACAGAACAGAATAGAATAATATATGGAATAAATATAGAATAGAATAGAATAGAATAACAAAGTTGGAAGGGACCTTGGAGGTCTTCTAGTCCAATCCCTGCCCAGGCAGAAAACCCTATTACCCTTTCAGACAAATGGTCATTCATTCATGTTGGAGCATTCACAACCTCTGGAGGCAGGTAGTTCCACTGATTAATTGTTCTCACTGTCAGGAAATTTCTCCTTAGTTCTTCTTAGTGTGACACCACACCTCCCATTTGCAGCTTTCCTAATCCCCCTCACTCCATCCTCTGGGTTGCTCCCAAAATCAAAGTATTCTCATGCTAAAACATCTCTTCTGATGGGCATTTATGTGGTAGACCCCAGATGGAGACCAGCTGCGTTTTTCCTTTTTTTTTCTTTTTAAACTGGGACCTGCGCCTGAAGAAGCAGCTGTTGTTGTGAGGGAAGGATCATTTCTGATGCCATTGTGACATCTTAGGGACTGGAATTTGGGGACCGGAATTTGGGGAGCCTTCTTTTGGGGAGCCAAACGATCAAGGGACAAAATTGGTGGGTTGAGACTTGGAAAACCTTAACAGCATGGCATTATTTTTAGACCAGGGGTCTTCAGACTTGGCCCTTTTATGACTTGTGGACTTCAACTCCCAGAATTCCTCAGCCAGGCACATTAAATCTACATTTTTATCATCATCCAGAAAGGAAAAACACAAGATAGTCAGGCAGATCCTGAGGTAAATCAAACAGTATACAGAACACACAGAGGAAAAAAGGTGGGGAAAAAGGGAAACGCCCCCTTCATACCCACAGCAACCAATCAGAGTGTAGATTGCCTCATGCATGAATCAGCACTCTCTAATTTAGGGATCTTCAAACTTGGCCCTTTTATGACTTTGGACCTCAACTCCCAGAATTCCTCAGCCAGGCACACTGGCTAGGGAATTCTGGGAGTTGAAGTGCGCAAGTCATGAAGGGGCCAAGTTTGAAGACCCCTGTTTTAGACCCAGGGTTCCCAAACTTGGCAATTTTTAAGATTTGTGGACTTCAACTCCCAGAATTCCCCAGGCATGCTTGCTGGCTGGGGAATTCTAGGAATTGAAGTCCAGAAATCTTAAAGTCACCAAGTTTGAAGAGCCCTGTTTTAGAAAAAAGAAGTTAAAAAGTTGGAAGCAGAAGCCATTTTTGGAAGGCCATCCGTCTCTCTCTGAACCTCTGGCTTAGGGCATTAGAGATGAGATAATCTGTTGCAGCTTTTTCTCAAGAAGACGGAGATCCGGGTTTCTCAATGTCAGCTGTATTAAGACTTCAACTCCCAGAACCTCCCCAGCCAAACAGTGCCAAACAGCCAAGATGATATCCCTAGACGAGACCAGGAGGAGAATAGAATAGAAGAATAGAATAGAATAGAATAGAATAGAATAGAATAGAATAGAATAGAATAGAATAGGGAATGGAATGAAATGGAATTACAGAATAGAATAGAATAGAATAGAATAGAATAGAATAGAATAGAATAGAATAGAATAGAATAGAAATACAGAATAGAATAGAATAGAAATATAGAATAGAATAGAAATACAGAATAGAATAGAATAGAAATACAGAAAAGAATAGAATAGAATAGAAATACAGAATAGAATAGAAATACAGAATAGAATAGAAGAATAGAAAAGAATAGAATAGAAATACAGAATAGACTAGAATAGAATAGAAGAATAGAATAGAATAGAATAGAAATACAGAATAGAATAAAATAGAAATACAGAATAGAATAGAATAGAAATACAGAATAGAATAGAATAGAATAGAAGAATAGAAAAGAATAGAATAGAATTACAGAATAGAATAGAATAGAATAAAGCTGGAAGGGACCTTCGAGGTCTTCTAGTCCAACCCCTTGCTCAAGCGGGTTTCCTGCCTAAGCAGGGGGTTCGACTTGATGACCTCCAAGGTCCCTTCCATCATCATCATCATCATCATCATCATCATCATCAGTATTATTATTATTATTATTATTATTATTATTATTATTATTATTATTATCTCAGACAAGTGACTGTCCAGTCTCTTCTTAAAAACCTCAAGTGCCTATGACTTCTGCTAGCAAGCTGC